ATTAAAGATATAATTTCACGGTATTTACGCCATTTATTTAAACATATTAAAGATATAATTTCACGGTATTTACGCCATTTATTTAAACATATTAAAGATATAATTTCACGGTATTTACGCCATTTATTTAAACACATTAAAGATATAATTTTACGGTATTTACGCCATTTATTTAAACATATTAAAGTTATAATTTCACGGTATTTACGCCATTTATTTAAACACATTAAAGATATAATTTCACGGTATTTACGCCATTTATTTAAACATAGTTTTGCAGTCTTTCTTAAGTTAGCATTTTCTAAACTTTGATGTACGCCCCCCTAAATAAATATGGTTTCTTGCGCGCCCTCTCTCTCTTTTTTTTTTTTTGTAGTGAGTTAAGTAACGAGATATAATACACAGGTACACATTAAAACGTTATATGTGTTGTAATAATTACTTAATATTTTAATTAATAAAAATATATTAAAACGCTTAATTTTACATTATTTCGCTGTTGACTCTACCCTATTATCGCTCGCGTCCTCCTAAGAGGCGCGCCCCACATTTTGGGAAACGCTGTCTTAAGTCATATAGTCTAAGATCGGGGGTCAGAATAACCGAACCAGTTTTGAGATGTTAACGTAAAGAATTGTCAAAAGTTGTTTAATGCAGGAGATTCCACGGACGTTGACCACAAGGTCCCCCCTGACGTGGCAGCTCGTGAAAAAGTATCGAAACCTTATATCGCTAATTAAAACCACATTAGGTCATTCAAAGCCAAACTGAATATATAAAAAAATCAGTTTGGGAAAATAAAGATCTGTAATTGTTGTGTGTAAGTTATTTCCGAATTAGAATTCGTGGGCCAGTTTTTAAATACAGTTATCTTTGATATTGCAGTAATAGAAACGTTAGGCAGAAACCGTGTATTTATTTAATAACTGATTTTCAAAAGCAAATGTGTTTGTTAGAGACAAGAGACATTTTTTTTTAAAACTGAAAATGTAACAATATTTCTTAATTATTTACAAAAGATACTTTTTTTTCTAACAAAAAATTTTATTCTTTCTTTTATTGACGAAAAAAATTTTCTATTCATAATCTAAACTGATTTTTGTAGCCTGCAGGTGGTATGTTTTTTTTTTTAATTATTGAAGAGATGACTAGTTAAATACTGATTGATGTGAAGCTTAAGAACAGTGTTCGAATTGGCCATTAATGAATGGACATTACATTAAACGCCCCCCAGTGGCACGTCTGCGGACTTATACTACTAGAAACCGGGTTTCGATACCCGTGGTGGGCAGAGCACAGATAGCCCTTTGTGTTAGCTTTGTGCTTAATAACAAACAAACAATTACATTAAACGGTAGGCCTCATTAAACAGTACTTTTGACCTGGCTTGGGGGTTCATTTGAAACTTTTTCCGCCTCATAATAATATCTTACACGACCTTAAAAATACCAATACAAACATATTCTGAAAGGACAGAACTATAATTATTTGTTAATGTTGACGAATAATGGACGATTTGGAGAAACTTGTTTAATTAAATGAATATTTATTATGTTTGAAAATTACCGATAAACGT